TTTTTTTTTTTTTTTAGAGTTTTTTTTTTTTGAACTGTTTTTTTTTTCAGCCTTGGTCTGTCGTGGATGGTGGATATGCAATGATTGAGGATGATTGAGCTATACAGTAAGTGATTGTGTAATTAGTAATCAATCGCTCTCGCTGGATTGACCAATCAATCAGCACCGTCGAAAGAACTAGAAATAAATTGAATGAACAGGTGGGGCTTTCCTTCCTTCCTTCCTTGTTTTTTTTTTGTTTTTTCTCTTTCGCGCTCTGATTCACAGTGTGACAATATTGTCAAACAGAGCTGCTGCCCGGTAAACCGTCGGCAGAGAGGGAGGGAGGGGGAGGGAGAAGAGGACAACAAAGAAACAAACGAGGGGGGGCTGTGACAAGAAACTGTTTCGTCGTCGGAGTTTCACCTACCTCATCAGGCAGCCGCCGCTCAACCTACATCCACGTGGGCGGCCTTGTACGCAAGAGGTTCTTTTTGAACAGGGGGAGTCTTGTAAGAAAGAAGATAAGAAAAACGAATTACCATTATTTTCTTGTTCTCTTCTGTCTTTTCCGCCTTTGCGCTCTGATATTCATGTGACGATAGTATATATATTCTATTTGACGATATATATATATGTATTTCCCTTTCCCTTTTTTCCTTTTCCTTTTTTCTTTCCCCTTTTGTGCGCTCTGATTCACAATGTGACAATATATATGTATGTATCTTCTATCTATCGATCTGTATAGAGCCTTGTGATGAGTCGGGCGTTTCACAGCCTCTCGTTGTTTGTGCTTTTCTGGAATTCCTTTTGGTGAAGCTCCCACGCATGTCTGTCACAGGCCCTCGTTTGTTGTCCTCCTTTTCTTCCTCTTTGCCTCCCGCCAGTTCTCTGTGACGATATATATAAAATATATATATGTATATATGAACCGACAGTCTGTAGAGTTTTCCATCTGGTGTGGGTGAGTGATAGTCTACTTTGATTTTGGTTAAGGCAGATTATCATTTACGGTGTAATCAGTGAGGGGATTCTGTAGACTGTTTAGGGTTCAGCCTCCTGATGAGTTGGTGAAACTCCGACGAAACAGTTCGTCACAGCCTCTCGTTTGTTGTCCTCTTCTCTCTCTCTGCCTACGGTTTACCGGGCAGTTCTGTTTGTGACGATATATATACATATATTGAGTTATATATAGTTATATATCGAGTTATATATATTTATTTCATCGATCGGTGTAAGGAGATGATTACCTTTTTCTCATTTAGCTGTGTACGGACGACGAATCGCGTGACAGGCTTGTCTACCGGCCACGTGTATCAAGGATCGATTGATTGATTGGTCGATTGATTGGTTGATTGATTAAGTGATTTGTGGTTTGGGTTGCACGGATTAATTATGTTCTTGATTTGATCATCAATTGCTATCACATCGACTCGCTTGATTGGTTATGGGACTCGGTATGAATTAAGTTCATTGGTTGATTGATTGGTTAATTGGTTAATAGGTTGATTGATTGGTTGATTGATTGGTTGATTGATTAGGTGATTTATGGTTCGGGTTGTACGGATTAATTATGTTTTTGATTTGATCATCAGTTGCTATCACATGGACTCGATTGATTGGTTATGGGACTCAGTATGGATTAGTTGATTGGTTGATTGGTTGATTGGTTGATTGATTGGTTGTGATTAATGGTTTGGGTTGTACGGATTCATTATGTTTTTGATTTGATCTTCAAGTGCTATCAACTGCTTCTCTCTTTCTCCATCTCTATCTCTCTGCTTCTCTCTCTCTCCCTCTTTTGCTTTTTCCCTCTCTCTCTCTCTCTCTCTCTCTCTCTTTGTCGTTCTCACGGCCATGCTCTCGCTCAACCTGATCTACTACCACGGTTTTTCCACCGACGTGGCAGATGTGCCCACGTGGCCTTCATCTATCGACGTGGCAGCTCTCCGCCACGTGTTTTAAAGATCCACTTGGATTCACGAGGCTGACCTAACACGTCTTCGATCCATCCACGTGGCTGATCTGTCTGGTCTTTGACCCATCCACGTGGCATATCTGTCATGTGTTTTACGGATCCACGTGGCAGATCTCTCACGTCTTTGACTTATCGACGTGGCGGCCAGTGAAGCTGATCTGCCTCGTCGGCAATTTTTTTTTTTTTTTTTTTTTTTTGTAATTTGGTCCATCTCTCGATCGACGCGTGTCGCATCCTTGTGGCTTCCGCTAACCATCTCCACAGACGTCACTTTTTGGTCGCTTATTTATTTTTTAATGTTAATTTTTAATGTTAATCTCATAGATAGCTATCAGATGCCATCGGGGGAGGAAAGAGATTTTTAATGTTAATTTTTAATGTTAATCTCATAGATAGCTATCAGATGCCATGGGGGGAGGAAGAGATTGCTCTTGCTCCGACCTGGGAGATCGGATCAGATCCGATCAGTGAAGCCCATCAGGGGAAAAAGCCGAGACAGCCAGTGTGTATCATTAGGTAGAAATCTGGCAAGGTACACTCTGGAGATCCATCCTGCAGTCGACTACCAATAAGCTTCTCCTGCCCTGAATCTGCCCGTATTTTGTGTTTTTATTCAGATTTCTAGAGTGATGGAGTGAGGCCCGACGTCTATTGAATAATAGTGGCGTGCTAGAAGGCAAGGTAAGTACCGGGGAGGCGAGGGAATGAATGAATCTTGACGTACAAGTTGGAAATGTACACCCTAAGTGAAAAAATCTGAAACATAAAAAAAATAGAAAAGGCACGTTGGAAATGTACACCCTAAGGAGGGTGGAGGGTAATACGAGGGTGGAGGGGAAGAGCAGTCGCGTATCATGGTGAAGAGGCACGCAGCGGGGAGTCGGGGCACGGATGTGGACGGGATCGGGAGACTGTACGGAAGGGTGTTGCAAAGGTAGGTGTGGCAAAACAGTGGGCAAAGGTGATAGAGGGGTACAAAAAAAAAAATAGTAGTATTAGGTGGTGGAGGGGGTAGCAAGCGAGAAAGGGCGGACAGGGGGTAGGAGAGGGGGCTAGACGGTGGATTGGCAACTAGAAGGAGAGAGAGAGGGGGAGAACAGAGAGAGAGAGAGAGTTGTGTGTGTGTGTGTGTGTGAGAGAGAGAGAGAGAGAGAGAGAGAGAGAGAGAGAGAGAGAGAGAGAGAGAGAGAAATGAGTGGACGGTGGCGATTTGTTGACGTGATCGATGCCGATTTTTTCGCACGAGTCGTGGATGAGATAATCTGACTCGATCACGTGTTCTGAGGTTTTGACACGTGGACGGGATCGCGGCGACCTGGCTTTGACTTTTATATTTTGTTGACTTCGATTTTTTATATTTTGGTGAGTCTGTCAATTGATATGAAGTGTGCGAAAAAACAATAAAAAATCAAAATGGTGTGTGTGAAAGTAGTAAGGCTTTTTTGCTCGAGCGGGCTTGCGGGGGTTGTCTATGAAAG